ATATCAGCTAATATTATGCCAATTAATACGCTTTACGTTAAACTCTCTTCTTTCTTAATGAATGATGTCCATAACATTTAAGCCCCCCTAATCTTTCTGGTTTGTTCACTCTTTCCCACCAAATACACAATCATAATACCCGATCTTCATCTGCCGGTAACTATTACATAAACTATTCTAGGCTAAATCAACATAAAAACTCATTCTCAAGGATTGGTTGTAAAATTTGGAATAGCATCCCAGGAAACTTAAGGAATCTTCCAAAAGATATTTTCAAGAAAAAGCTAACAACAATATTATTTCAAAATCTTCAAGTTCAAGATAGTTATGTTGACGTAGAACGAATAATCAATGATGTGTCAAAAGTTAAATCCAGTTAATAGTAGTGTATAACTTATGTATTCTTCTATTTATTGTCATGTGTTTCTATTTCTGTATTTTTATCTCATACTGTCATTTCTACTTTTAAATTAATGATTTAATATTTAATTTCTGTTTCTTGTATATTTATTGAATCTTTTGTTGAACCGAAATCTATGTAAGATGTTTTAGCGTCCACACACTGCCCGCCGAGACTAGCTATGCTATTTGTGGGTAGCGGTTGATTTTGTCAAGTTAAGTTTAACGCCATTAGAATAAAAGTTACAAAAAAAGTTACTCAAAAACGGGTCCGGTGTCCCCTTTAGATTTGAAAAGAATCTGTAAAGACGACCCGGGACCTCTTCATTTTATAAAACTAGGGACTTTTTTTGTTATTAATTAGTATTTTAAAACTCTGGAGCTACTTGAGGTTAAGATTTTCCTTCGGCGGACTCCCGAAGGAAAATGTATGTAATTTCAAACACAAATTCAAGATTTGTAAGACTCAATGGTCATGCATGTGAGAAAAAAAAAAACTTATTTACTGAGTTTGGTCGGTCGGGCGGACGGAAAGATATTTGGCTCTTACTCTGCTTTTATGCCTCTGAACCGCAGATGGACTGAGATAATGGAGCACAAGGATAAGAAGGGGCGTACCTCCATGAAGCTGCTCATCAAACACTTCCCAGAGAGCGCAGAAGCGGTGATGGATTACTGCATTGATCGAACGGAGATAGAAAGTTCTGATGATCTAAACTTTACCATTAATTGCAACCCCCGTTTCCTAGACCCCAGCCCTACTGATTCTACTTGCCTGGGAGGAAGTCGTTTCTCAGTTTGGACCGAGCACTATGGAAACACGAGCGTAAAGAATTACTCTTTCATCCTTTGACCCAGGTCTTGTTGAATAAGAAGTGGTCTTCTTTCGGGTACTTGGTTTTCTATTTCAACTTTCTGTGCTATTTTGTTTTTGTTGCTATGATTACAACTTACTTTCTTTGTGGAAATTATACTCTGTTTTCGGCAGCAGTATTTCTTGCGATCATCCAACTCGCAAAGGAATTTATAACAATATTTGTCCAAAGGCTTAAGTATTTCACAGTCTTGAGACATTTAATTGAATGGCCTACTCTATGATACATCTTTTTTCTCCTTGTCATCAATTTGGGATCACCCAAAACTCACCTCGGTGTTGAATGCCATTTAGATTTTCCTCTGCTATGCAAACCTAGTCTTGGTTCTTCGTCGGTTGAGTGTGGTTGGAATTTATGTCACCATGTTCATAGAGGTCACCAAGTCGGTTTTAAAAGTGCTGCTAATCTTCTTTGTCTTGTTCTTTGGGTTCTGCACGCTTTTCTACGTCCTTTTACAATCAAAGGTGAGATGAGATGATAGATAAGTGTGTATGAGAATAAATTCGCTTCTGTTTGTGATTCATGTGAGTTTTTATCCTTCTTTCATTAAATTAGCGTTGTTGAAAGCACTGAAAGTCTCTCGTATTTCCTCCACAGGAAGTGGTTTTTAAACATCTGGGATTTGCAATACTGGAGGTGGCAGTGATGACAATTGGAGAGGTTAACTCTCAAGAGAGATTCGTGCATTCCGAGAGTTTTCCAAACGAGCCCACTTCTACTGAGGTAGCCTCTTTCGTCTTCCTCGGCTTGTTCATAGTTTTAATGACGATTGTATTGATGAACCTGCTGGTATGTATGAAGATGAAAAATTTCTGCAACTCTTACCAAATAATAAGCTGTATTACTCAAGCATTTTGATTGGTTCTTACCTATGATTTATTGGAAGACAGATCCATACACGCCGGGAGATGACGTCATCAATAATAGTTATTTTTGCTTCTTCATTGTATGAAACAAATATGTTCCGTGTTGCTTGGGGTCTGTACAATAATAGATCACAGAAGACATCAGAACGTAGCTAGAACATCAGCCTAATCGTCAAATAGTGCACAAGATATGTAACATTTGTTAAAACAAATCTGCTAGCGTTCTACCAAAAATGCTACAAGGGACTTTAAGCAACGAGAGCGGGGACGGCGACGGGGACTCCAAAATCCGCATAAGACTGGGGAGAGAACGCCGTCGTGGCGGGAATTTCTAAACAGTTAAGCAGCCATTACAAAACTGACTGGCTACGCGACAAGCTTGCTATCTAGTTAACAAGTAGATCATGTTATCGTACTTCTGTTCAGTAATGGACCACGGGTGACGTCAAAATGTAGCAAGAACGAAATAGTATCACACGAGGCACAGCCGAGTGCGTCAACAATTCAGAATTCGTATTCAGACGCTTCCTTGTAACAAATAAAAGTTGAGACTATGATTTGTAGAACTTTAATCACGATTGCATGTTTCACCTACAGGTGGGTCTTGCCTTGGGTGATATCGACGCAATCCGACGCAATGCTGCGTTTAAGAGAATGGCTGTGCAGGTGAAGTATATCGCCAACGTCCAAAACAGCTTCCCGAGGTGCATCTCGCAGCGTTTCTACCGTTCAGAAGTAGTTTTGAGGCCAAATCGTCGAACACTGAGGAAGAGGTATGTTTCGAGTGCCATTATGATAAAAAGTCACCCCTCAAATTTTCAAGAATGCGAGAAAAAATTCTAACAAAGAACCATTGTGACTCTGTCAAATACTACTTCTCTTTCATCTCTTATCCCTTCACCTCCTCTATATCAGAATGCGTGCTCTCCTTACTGTGTTCTACACATTTCCTATAGCACTGACAAAGAGATTATGTTAACCAATCAAGTTTATTTGATCTATGACATTTCCCTTATTCTCATAACCTTAATGTTTGATTCGCCATTCATACTGTAGGTGCCATACTGTAGGAAACTAGGTGCCGGTCACGCGTACCTCTATTCATGGCACATAAATTAGACCGAACCCGGTCCCACTCGTTTTGTCAACCCCAAACATTTTTAACTCCGGTTTTTCACATTATTTTCGATCTGATACTTAAACTCTCAAAGAAAAAAACCTCGTAAGTAAACTTTTCAAAAATTTACCAGAAATTTCGATTATCTTGAAAAATAAAAAATATATATATTTCTAGGAGAACATAAAAATTGTCCGACCTCGAGACAGAACTCTCACAAAATGTCCATTTTCCCCGATCTGTCAAAAACCTTTTGATTCTCATGGATGACTAACATGTAACTTCTCCCTATAATAACCACACGTTATCCAGCAAGCAAGTAATGAGAATACTTAAAATTATTGGGTAGAAGTTGTTACTTGGATTTAAGACCATATTTTCGTAAATTGATTTTGAGGGATATGTGTAGCAACTAGCGAGGAGAGTTGCCAATCAGATCTTGGGGGTTAACGGGTCAGAATGATCACTTTACAAAACCAATTCTTCCTCTTTGTAATTCAGGTTGATGGTTCTTCTTGGAATGGAGACATCTTCCGGCTTGGACTTTACTCCCCGCGCTAAAGAAGAACTGTCTGCGGGTACAGTCTCGGATAACACTGAGATTAAGAAAAAACTCGACCTTAGTGAGAAACGCATCGAGGCATTGATTGATGCGATGGAGGTGCAAAACACTTTGCTAAG